TTCCTCCGTATTTGCGATGATCCCCTGCCAAACTTGTTTGCACTCCTGCGACTAATTATCCGCATCTGCAGACTCGCATCTGCGTCCATTCTTCCGCTGATGCGGAAGCACTAGAACCAGCATACCTTCAGCAATGCAACATGAAATGAAAATGATCCGAAACTCACCTAGGCCACTCGGGACCCCGTCCAACTATACCAACAAGTCTCATAACTTAACACAGACCTACTCAAGGCCTCAAATAACACATAACAACATCGAAACAACTAATCGTACCTTAATTCGAACTTGAATGAACTTTGAACTTTGAACTTTCAAAACTTGCACCGAAACATATTAAATCAACTCGGAATGAACCCAAATTTTGCACACTAGTCCCAAATGACATAACGAAGATATTCAAATTCCCGGAACCACAATCTAAACCCAATATCATCAAAGTCAAATCTCGGTCAAACTTATGAACTTTCCAAACCTTCAAATTTCTAATTTTTGCCAATTTGTCTCGAAACCTTCTAGAAACATCCAAATGCAAATTCGGGCATACACCCAAGTCCAAAATCACCATCCGTACCTAACGGAACCATCAAAATTCTATTCCGGGGTCAAATTCACCAAAGTCAAACTTGGTCAACTCTTCCAAATTAAAGCTTCAACAATGAAATTCATTCTTCCGAATCGACTCCAAATAACCTGAAAACCAAAATTGACGATTCACACAGGTCATAATACATCATACGATGTTGCTCAAGACTTCAAATAGCTGCACGAAATGCAAATGCTCAAAACGACAGGTCGGGTCGTTACACTTAGATATCTGCTTTATTTTTAATTTGGAAAAATAGTCGTTTTAGTCATTTTGTTATTGCATAATTTCGGTTTTAGTCCTTGTGTTATCTTATTTAATACATTTAACCTTTTGATTAACCAAAGTGAGTGATTATAGTACTTTTACTCATGGAAGTTAACATTTTCTGTTTGCTACTACGGAGGGTAATTTGGGTATTACATCTCAGAGCTTATAAAAAAACCTAATTTTACGAAAAATTTAAGATCTATGATAATATTCTATTCTTTCTTGATGAATTTACTGAGCTTATGGAGTATACAATAAAAGGAATGCTGATTTTGGTGTACATTTCTGTGCATAAGAACGAAGGTATTATGGTTCCTCTTTATAGCATCGAATAGATCATGAAGAATTCAGTTAGAAGTTTCTGTAATCACTTAAAATGTTCTTGATGGTCGTGAAGTTGTTCAAGCTTAAAATGTTCAAGCTTAATCACTTAAAATGTTCAAGCTTACATCGTACATGGTTTGGTTCATTGTAACGAATTTTGGCATTTGTTTTACATTAATGGATTCGAGGGTGGATCAAAATTTTTCTATGGCCGTGAAGTTGTGGACCTCTGGGTTGTATTTGCATTAATCTTGGCGAAACCAGAATTTTCATTAAGAGGAGTCAAAATATAAATAAGCATGCAAAGAAATCAACGGGAATTAATATATATATATATATATATTATATATATATATATATATATATATGTTTCGACGAAGGTACGTCAATTGGCTCCCCTCCTAATGAGTGGCTACGCCATTGCTTAGAGTTCGATAATAAACATTTCTTTGAAATAATAACAAGAAATCAGATTCTGTTTTGATTGTATTCCATGTGTTCTTGAAATATTTTTATCGTTTTTTTATATATATAAAACAAAAGGAAAATCACTATTGAAGAGGTATCCAAGAAGAATTCGATTTTTTTTTTTTTTTTTTTCTCAGACCAAGATATAGCTGCAGCTGTTTTTCCAACAAAGAACGTGGCCAGATTATGATATGCATTCGATGGATTTGCCTTTGTTGTATGAGTTTTTTTTTCCCCGGGATATGAGGTTGCCTATGTGCATATATGGTTTGGTCAATGAGGTTACATATACAACCATGGAAAAATTAAGTTTCTAGCTGTAATACCCAAATTGCCCTCCATAGTAACAAACATTATGATTGCAATCTTAACTTCGGTTAGTAATAGGACTAAAATCGCTCACTTTGGTTGATTAAAAGTTAGATGTGTTAACTGAGATATCACAAGAACCAAAACCAAAATTAGAGGATAACACATAGGGACTAAAATAATCATTTTTCCTTTTAATTTTTGATATTTCAAATTTATTTAGAAGCTTATATGATCGCGCGAACCGCGTGGAAATTAACTAGTTCATAATATTTGTGAGGATGTTTAGATTTGTTTTAAATAGGATGTTCATATTTGCTTTAAATGTTGAAACATTTGGTAATATTTGCATATACTCCTTTCGTTCAGGACATTACATGAGTAAAGATGATAGGCTATAATTACGTATTTTAGTCGCTTATTACACTCTAATTTATTGCACTTTAATTGAGTTTGCGCTTTAATCGCTAGTGTTTTGCACTAACGGTGTGTTTTATGCCTTGTAGGAGTGATTCCGAGATATATAGATGTTATGGAATGAATTCAAGTGATTTGGAACTTTGAAGTCTGAGTAAAAGCCCAAGGAATTAAGCCAGAATCGTATTCGGGGATCAACGGATGATAAAACAACAAAACGGAGACTCGAATAGGCATATTGCGCACTGTCTAGTAAAATGCACATAACTTTTTGCTCAGAACTCCATTTGGGCTCCAGAATATATGGTTGAAAAGCTAACTCAAAGGGCTACAACTTTCATGTTTTACGTTTTTCCAAATTCCAAAGGAACAGGGTCAAAAACGCGATTGAAACTGCAACTGCGGATCTGACGCGGCAGAACACTGCTGCAGATTCGGAAGGCCACTTTGGCCGCGGTCCTGGCGTAACCGCGGTAGGACCGCGGCAGGACGCGTAAATTTCAGGGACTAAAGTGCAAAACACGGGATTTTAAGCCCTAAACCCTATATTAAACGAGGGAAGCCGGCCAAGAAAGGGGAGAATAATTTTTGGAAGTGAAAAACATCAGAAGGAAGGGCAAAAAGCAAGGAGGATCATTGGGCATCAATCTTTAATCTTCTTCTTTGTTCTTTTACCTTTGAATATGAATTCTTTTGTGATTTTTGTTATTTTCACGAGTAGCTAACTTTTCTAATCTAAGGTTTTGGTGAAACCCGTTGGGGATGAATTGGTTGTTATAAGTAATATAGATTTGAATTAGTTTAATCTCTATTTGTTCCACTATGTTTTGATTGTGGTTAATTGAAAGGATCCTCAATTAGCCGTTCCTATTTATTATGTATCTGCTTGAGAGAGAGTGCATATTTAGGTTGTTGTTTGAACAACATCACTCCCGGAGTATGGGCGAGAGTCATAACTGAGGGTTTAGAGGTTGGATTAGAGATAACGATACCTCGGGTGCGATCTAAGTGAACTGTAATGCGAATCTAGCTAGCGTAGCTTGAGAGAGTGCGTATAGTAAATTATCATAATTGCTTGAGAGAGATTTATGATAGCTGGAGAGTTCATGATTGATAGAGGCAACTAAGTCAACGCTATAAGAAACATACAACGAAGGAAATCAACAACGGGGGTAACCATTACCTTAGACATTTATTCTAATTGTTTACAATTCAAGCATAGTTAGTTTTCAGTTGCTTATTTATTTTCAATCTTGTCTTCTTGGTGATATTAAACAGATACAGCTAAGCCTTAGTTCTCTGTGGGATTCGACTCCGGACTTTTAGACCGGATTATATTTGTAGCGACCGCTTATCCTTTTTAGGACTAGAGTTGGGCGTGATCAAAAGACATAGTCACTCTTAGATTATAATTTGGTTCTTTGTAGAATTTATATGCTTCAGTAAGTATTGGACAAGGAACTATACCACATGATTCACATGCATATCTTCTGTGTACCCAGAAAGAAACCAGCTGCTGTCACTTTATCTGTGTGGTTACCATATATCTGCATGCATGCCCTTATTCATGCGACAGTAAAGTCATGCCAGACATAAGGCATGCTTTTACATAGAATTGAGTCATATCATAATCAGAGAGACCTGTACCATCCCCAACTGAGAAACCATTAATTCCTACACTGCTTCAGCCATTAACCTGCTAGCTCTTGCCAGTGCTCACAATTTGTATTAGGTGTCTCATGGTTTTTGAAACAAGATTGGACGTGATTCTTTTGTTCTTTAACGGAAGTCCAAGAACTTAAATGTTGAGAGAGTTTTAAGCTTTTCGTGTATAAAGCTGAAATTAATTACTTATAGAAATGTCTTAGCAAATTTACTTTTGTTTTGTTAAGGACAATAAAGTCACCTAACTATTGCTTTTTGACTCAAAAAATAAATAACATCAATTTGGCATGTTATATTAAAAAAAAAAACACTTTAATGAAAACTCATTTAAGGCATGTCCCTTATACCCATTTAATCTACCCGATAAGAAGATGGGTCTAATTTTAGAATAACAAGTTCTAGTCTTTAACAATGTAAACCTAAATAAAGAGGATAATGCCAAGTAGCGCTTTGAGAAAAGGACGCAAGGGAAAATTAGGACAAAACTAATTTAGACACAGTCGATAATAAGTGCAATAAAAATTATGAATTGATAAGTGAAAGATAAAGTTTTAAATTTGAATTCAAATAAATATTTAAAACAGATATTAACAATAAGATCCACTAGATAATCCCATAATGTACTATTTTGAAGTTTAGATAGTCTTATCAGATATATATCATATTCGAATATTTACATCAAATATGCGATCATAACTATTCATCGGCAAAAGGGCATAATAGTTGTAAAGCTATTAAACTATTATTAATCAACAGTTATTTGTGTAGTATTTCAGTAGAAAAAAAGGGGCATATTCATAATATCGCATAACCAAACACCAAACATTAGAAAGCTAATTTGGGACACTTTCTTTTCTAACATTTTGTCCAACAACTTTTTATATGATTTTTAAGTGATATTTTAATCTATCTTAACAATACAGTGTTCAATAAAATAGCTCCTAAGCATATAAGTGACAAGTAAAACGGCAACAAATAGTAAACTAAGCTGATTGAGCAGACAAGTGAAGTTAGATTATTACATTCTACCAGACAGCCAATAAGGAATTACATCGCTCATTTATTTAGAACTGTACATCAACTGCTTTCTTCTTTCATCGTTCCACCCTAACCCTGCAGAACCTTTGTTTCCTGTGGCCTGTAATGGTTCGATCAAACCATTGTTGCTGCGGCCAAGTGCCTCCCCCTGTGCAAACAGCCAAGCATTTAGGTGACAATACCATTAATATATTTGCAAATTTCACTTGAGCAGTTTCTTTCACAAAGATCCTATGTAATCGTGAGGTTAAATTATCTTCATTATTAGACATAGCACTGAAATTACCCATAAAGAGAATCTAATAATTTTCAAACATAGATGGTCGGAACTTTTTTCTTTTTGATAAAAGATGGATTATGATAAGTTGAAACTAATACATCCGCTGAAAGACTGAGCGAGAATGGTAAGGACACACAAACAAAGAATGTCATTGCACGAGGATGTGATTTGCCAATCTGGCGCAAAGAAAGCCGCCCAACCCTAAAGTTAAAGAGGCTCGCAGCAACCTTGTAATGAATTAACAAGGAAAAGGTTCCTTTTCCACACAAGTGAAAAGATTGAATGGACACCTAGAGATAGACGATCAATATGGAAGAAAGAAATAGAACAACAACATTCGGAGTATTACACGTCTAGGTGAATCTCCTTTAATTTTTTGTGATAGAAAGGTAAAAGTCTTGGCGGGTTTCTACTTTCTTGCGATCATAAGATAAGGCATTTCTAAATTATGTGAAACCACCTCATGACACTAGTAGCTAAAATTATAATTCCTGAGCTGGTGAAAGTTTTAAATTGTACCTCCTTCCAGCCCATGTTTTCCAAAATTCTTCTGGCATAGCTACCAGCTCCAAATGAATTGCTCAAGGATTCAGAAAGAGCTTCCTCTGGAACAGCAGATGTATCCAAAGGAACAGAATCATCACAGTTAGGTGAATTTTTTTGCCCTGGACCTACACCAAACCCACCATGCAATGCTCTTCTTTCTGCAGCTCTGTCCCTGTACACATGGTCTCTGTCCTGGAATGACATAATCACACAATTTAACAGATAGGTAAGATAAAGATCCTAGTGCATGCCCATCTAAATAGGAGAAAGCATTTCTTTAGTAAAATTACAAAATTATCTTTTTTGATTGTTAAAAATTACAAAATTATCTTATGAGACAGTTCAATTATTTTTACGATACATGGTAGAATTCTCCCAACCACCGAACAAAAGCCCCTCTATCCAGGAGCCCCAAGTGGCCCTTACCCACTTTGTTTCCTTGGTGACTCAAACATATAACCTTATGCTTGGAGATGGAGGGTCCATACCACTAGATCATCCCTCCCTTGTATTCGATTGGTTATTTATCACTAATGAGTATGAAATCATCATCCATCCAAACACAACTCAGCCACTAGCACTATTGTCTAGATATTTCATTTTATGCTGTTAATCAGCTACAGACATGTTAATTTATCTTCGTTTTTTCAGCTGTGCTGACCATCTAAATACTTTAACACAATTTACTACTTTTCCCAGATAACAAATTTTCTAGTGCAGCAACTTAATAGATAGTAATTCTTTTCGAAAAGGTCTTAACTCATTTTTAGAGCTTTAAGATACTAAATCTGCTAAAGAACTCACCCTAATTGACTGCATAACCCAAAATCATCTCTAAGTAGAAAAATTGTAAAGCACTTGAAACATAAAGCGGACATAAAATACCGTTTCAGCAGCACTGCTCTCTAACGGCAGAGACACATCCTCCTCACCCGGTAACCCTGTGCTTATGGGTTTATATCTTTCAGTGACTGGTGAGCATGTCTGGATTTCTCTGCTGATTGACATTTGTGGAAAGCGCCAATTTTTCGTTGGATTGGAAGAATCATAATTGGACAAAGAAGCCAAATATTGTGTGCTAGGATTTCTCAACCTATACACCTGACCTGTAGGAAGGAAACATTTTGATAGAACGCCAGCGAAGATAGAAACTAGGATGACCCATGCCTTAACTAAAATTTCATACTCAAGATAAGAAAACAAACATCTTTTCATGAAAGCACATCAACAGAATTTTTCTTTCCTTGTGGTTCTACACAAGTAGTCTGTGAATTTGCTGATGCGGTGGATTTAATGAAATAAATGATTGTATCGGCAGTTTTCAGTTCCTTTTAGTGCAAGCTTATTTCAGAATGCTGAAGAAAAAAGTTATGGATATTTCAGAAGAAGTTGGAAAACCTTATTCCTTCAAAGTTGCACCTCATTACATCTCCTTTACTGTCCAGATATACATACTATAACTTACATGACTTGACTAAAATATGAATGCCTATACGGTAATATTCTGAATCAGGCTGATCATGAATGAATGTGAATGCATACATGCTGATGAAAGAAACAGGAAAAGAAAGTATTGGGTCATTAAGTTTTGCCAGGGCAGCATGAGTGTGCTCACATGTAAAAAAATAAAAAGGAAGTTTCTAGCACATGGAATGAAAATATCACAGATTGAATAGACAGAATATATGAAAGGGAATAACGTTAATTTAGATTCTTTTAAAAAGTAGATCACAATAGTTTAACTGGCCATTTTGTAAACCTAAACTAAAACAGGACATGTTAGCAGTAAGTGATCTGTGTAATTGCATAGGATGCAGAAGATTCCATGTAAATGGAAGTTTGACAATGCAAACCTGATGTAACTCGTACCAGATCAAGATGGACTTCACATACTGGAGCAGTTTTAAGAAGATGGCCACTCGAGGGCATTGATGGATGCAACTTAGCATTGGGCTTCACCAGTCGTCCAACCAGCCTGGCCACCCTTCTTTTTCGACCTTTTCTGATCTTTTTAACCACTGACCAGTCCCACAAATCAACAGCCTGAATATGTGATAGAGAATCTTCAAATGGTCGTTCAACTTGACCATACTGGGCTCGCCAGTTTTCTTCCTCCAAACAAATGCCTGTTCTGAGGAAACTTCAGTCAATTTCATGCATACAAAAGTATGAAAATGAAGAAGTTCAAAATAAGCATCATATTATTTCAAAATCCCCAAAATCCTTCTTCTTTCCTTGCTTGCCTATTCCATTTTTCCCCGTATGAGTTGCAGCATAGAGGAATCCCTTAGATAGTCAGATTTTCTTTAACTCCCACTTGAGTGAGTGAGTGAGAGAGCATCAACTTTTTCCACAACAATGCCAAGAATGCCAAATACTTTTTCCGTCTGAAGTCCGAAAATGGACGGATTCACCATCATTAGTTCTCTCCAGTGACCCCAAATAATTTTTATGAGGATATCTTCCCCCTTGGGTGCAGCCCTTCCCCGGACTCTGCGTGAACACGGGATGCTTCATGCACCGGGCTGCCCTTTTTCTATCTTCCTTCGATATATCTTGAATTTTTAAACTACTATATCATTGGAGAAGAGTTAAACCTATACAACAACTACTACGCCTCAATTTCACTAAGAGTTAAACCTGTCAATAGAACAAAATGCTAGACAAAAAGAGAAAAGCGAAGGAAGCAATTGACAATAGGCAAACTTTTTGCCACCCTCATATGCATTCTGTCAACGATTCATCAACATTTTCAACACTAATGCCTTAATTCCAAGTGAGAAATTTTTTATAGAATAAATAAATGCCGAGTACCAAAATCAATACTAACCTTCATCCATGACATCTACATTTGGATCAGATGAATCTGTCCAGTCATCTGGTATCCATTCACCTTCCTCGAGTTCATATATGATACCATTCCCTGCACCAATCAAGGTAGCATGACTTGCAATACAGTAGTTCAAATCATATTTTGAGCAAAGCAGAGATTTTGAACCAACCAGGCGCGGATAAATATGAGTTATCTGTTTCATTTGTTTCTGGAGCCACTGTCATGTCAGGAGTATTATTGGCAGCTTGACTGGAATAATTTGCCAGATAAAGTTCAATGAGAGTATCTTCAAGCCTGACAGTAGATGTATTACACCAGTTGGGAAAGAAAAATAACTACAAGAACAAACATACAAGATAACTAAACACGTCGTTTTACCACTCTGAGGGTGGTGGTGGATTTTCTGGAAGCTTGCAATCGGTATCCTCCAACTGCTCTGCTTAGAGTGAAATTGAAAGAGAAAGTAAGCGACAGTCAAGTGCAGATGACTTCTAAACTACCATAAACAAGGATTGTCATGCCCAAATAGTTTTCTTGAATAGGTGGCAATTCGAAGAACAATGATTATACTTAGGGTGAAAACACTACTGGTGGCGACAAAGGGCTGATATCAAGAGGGCTCAATAATGAGACAAAGTAAAATAACAAAGAATTTACAGATATCATAAGGGAAGAAATTGCATGAATAAACATCTTACATCAAACACTTTTCACGAGTCAAATAGATCAGCAATGAGCAAACCATGAGCAAAACTGATTCGACAATAACTCAGCCAGTAATAATTGAGAAGAAACTGCTACAATTCATTTAAATCTAAAGAAACCACTTTTCCACTGATTCCTAGTAATAGCTCCACATCTATATATCTTAGACTACTCGCACCCACCAAGTTGCAACAAAAAGTTCGTATAGCTCGAAACTAAATGGATAAGCAAAGTATATCTACTGCAACAACAAACTTCACCACAAAACACAACATCTTATACATAAGCATAGACGGGCAGGCGGACTAATTTACCTTCAGAGAACTCAACAGAAAGTGGTTCCACTGTTTGAGCCACATTTTCACTGATGTCTGCATTTATCTCATCTTTGTTAGACTCCGCAGGCGCAACGCAACTATTCTTTTCAGGAGAAGCAACCTGATGTTGAATAATAAACGAGCTTTACAAACACGAATCACTCCGAAAATCAACTACTACGCCAACTGTTTGGATGTCGTAAATGGAAGGCTAAACCCCCCAAAAAAATACCTGAGAATACTCCATGAGAACATAAGTACCATTTTCGAATTTGTAATATAGGCCATCTTTACAGCTGTAGTACCAGCCTGCTTGAGGATCGTGATAAAATCCAGTGCTGCATCAAACCAGACGAAGGTCACACAATATTAGATACAAATGAACGCGAGACATAACGATTATTAATATAATTGCTAAAAGGAATCCAAATTCTATCTCAGATTAAATCCAGAGGTGATTTAAAAGTTTAAGCCCCAATTTCAGGAGCGAAGAGAAAAAAGAGGAATGGAATTGGAGATGAATCACGGAAATTGTTCGAAAAAAGAAGACAGTACCGGGCGTGGTAGTAAAGCTGAGAACTTTCATCCCATACGAACTGATTTTCGCTTTGCTCGGATTCCTCCAGCTCTTCTTTCACGGTTTCCGCCATTACTAAGCTGTCAATGTCCATTGAGAAATTCTATTTGTTGAGGTAGATGTTGGAGATCAACATGGTGTTAAGGATTATTTCAATTTTAATGCACTTATTTATATCAGAATTCCAGGAAATCTATACCCAAGTATGATAAAAACTAAGGGTCGTTTGGTTGGAATATCATTTATACCGGTATAAGTTATGCAGCTATAAGTTATATTGGGATAAATTATGCTGGGATTGTTGTTTATTCATTGTTTGGTATGTTGTATTAAGAATGACAATTGCTTAATTTCTAAGAATAAGGTATAAGTTATACCGGTGCTAATTACCCCACCTTCTATAAGGTATAAGTTATCCAGTGTTAAAATTAACACCGGGATAACTTATACCTGGTTTGCTAACCAAACAGAGTATTAAGGTAGTATTAAATTTTTATACCACCCTTATACGTTCTTATACCTCATACCAAACGACCCCTAAGAGTCACCAAAGTTCCCACAACAAACAACAATCGGCTCACGCGATTAAAAATCACCACCTATCTAGCAGGATTTCTAACGTGCAAGAATTAAGCTTTTAAATCCCTCACCTCTTACAATAACTATATTTAAGCTCTTTGTAATTAATGTATTACAAAGCCACACTCTTGATTAACTCTAGTCAAACAACCAAAAGCAATAATAACTAAATGCGTCCTACTAAATGCTTCCAAAATATCGTGTATGAATGAATACAAATAGATAACAAATGATAAAGACACAACAAACTAAAGGACACAAGACATATTCAATGATGGGATATGGTCCTTTATTTTGTAGCAGCTTTGTTCTTCAATGCACGTGAGGAAACAGAGGCGGCTCCATACACTTGAGAGAATATATGTTTTTGTATTTGCAAGTGTTAGGTCAAAACCTTGTTGTTCTTCCATGAAGTTTGACAAATCATAAAAACCATACTCGCATAACTTACCAAATTTTCCCTTTTTGGTGATGACAAACATATAATTGATATTCCCTTCTGAGTACTAAATTTTCACATGTTCCCCCTACGAATCAGACGCGTTTCCCCTAAGGACCAGTTTTCTGCCCTTCAATTTTCTTTGCCTTTTTGGCATCATTAAAAGAATAAGACATATATACGTAAAAGAAGTCCAGAAAAATTAACTCATGACATTTGTGTGCACACAGAATGGCTAAAAACGGAATATAAAAGATTAACATTGCGCAAAATAGAGAGTTATGCCCATTAATTATAAGAGAAAAAAAAGGAATAGCAGTACCATTCACACAAATATTACAAATCAAAATAACTAAAGTACCATACTCATAAGATAGGATCAACAAAAGGACATGATTAGGAGATGGGACATGAGACATTGGAGAAGGGACATGAAGGATTAGGGAGCAAGAGCCTTGATGATTTATTCAAATATTAGCAACTCGTTGATCATTGATCAATTGCTCCTTTAGGTTCTCAACTTGTTTCCTCAACTCAGCATTCTCAGTCTTCAAACATGAAATCTCTTCTCCTTGAGCACTGTTAGAACCAGGTTCCTTACGCTTGGACTCCAGAATGACATTTTGAGCTTTCAGACGCTTGATCTCTTCATTGACAGCCTCTTACATATCGATCAATTGAGAGATAGTTGAGTTGCTTCCTACTCCTCCCTTCTTTACTACACACTCACACTCTTCCAGAGTATTCATGGTGAAAATTTGCTTTCTAATCCCCATATATTCTTTTCCCATTGGAAACTTAAAGTGTTCAAAGACTCTGGTGAGGAGAAACCCATAAGGGAGGCCATGGTTACCATCCTTGAAGTCTTCCACCTTAAGCATATGTTTAATCATAATGCCATGCAGATTAATATAATAGAAGGAGTCTAGTGCTTCCAGAAGAATCAGGTCTGCAATGGAGGTGATAGATCTTCTCTCAGCCCTAGGCAGCAACACCTTGTTCACCAGCTCAAACAACAGCTGGTATTCTGGATGAAGAGCTTTCTTGTGTACTCTTTCCCCCGACAGAAGTGATTGCTTCTTGATAATCAACTTCTTAAAGTTAGGAAAACTAGCTTCCTCCACAGTTTTCAGCCCAACAATGGGTACACCAAGGATCTCACCAAGTGTTTCCTCATCCATAAAAAAGTCCTTCCATTTACTTTCAGACAGAGTATATCCCCATCCATTATGAACAGTTCAACATAGAAACTTCTTACTTCATCTTCATATACTTTTGGACGTTTTGTGCCAAAGAGGTGGGTCCACTTCTAGAATCCAACAATTTCCACCAACTATCTCATGCCTGGTTGTTCAAAGATTTCAAGATCAAAGACTCGACCCTAGAGAACCTTTTGTTTCTTGAGATTTGCCCTTCTTTCCAACTCAGACAATTTTACCCTTGGCCGTTTGGAGGAACCAGGTTCCTCACTAGTACTCTGCCTCTTCCTTAGAGACTTCTTCTTATCCACTTTATCTTTCTCCACTTCTCCTTCATCATCCTTGTCACTCATAAGTTCTTTGTTAGATACTGCCTTCTTCTATTTTGTAGTAATGGTTTTCTTGGAGTTCTTCCTAACAAGAGGAGCGGGTTCCTTAACAAGCTCCTCATCATCCACCTCAACCACATTAGCAGGAGGAACATCCTCCTCATCAATCAACCAGCTTTTCACAAATCTTCTTCTCTTCTTCTTCTCCTTAATCGCCTTTACAGCATTGTCAAGTTCAGACTTGCTCTACTGTCTAGTGGTAGGGAATTTAGGAACAGTATCCTCTTTGGCTTTTCCCCCTCCCCTAGCAGTTATAAAGTTTATGACAAGAAGATTATCAATAGCATCCTCATTCTCACTAGAATTACATTCAGACACAAACCTCATTTCAAGATACTCAATTTCTAAAGGAATAGGAATAGGAGAATCAAATAGTGATGTGTTAGCACTGTCCAAGGGTGTCCTTGTAGAACCTGGGGTTTCATCCCAAGTAGGAGCAGAAAACTCCCCTTGGGCAGAGGGACGAGGTCCCTCTATAGATTCCCCTATAGTACTAACAGGTACTTGTTCCCCTTTACCTTGTTCTTCCCTCCGACTCAGCGGTTCCCCCCGAGTCTCTTCACCCACACCCTCAGTCATAGACCCTTCAACCAATTTTTTCACAACAACAGGCTCTTTTTCAAGAGAAGTAGAGCCTTCATTTACTACAACACTCACATTTGCCTCAACCTCCGTACACACGGTCTCTTTAATATATGAAGAATATGGAAGATTACTTGACATAGACAAGAGACTCGGAATAATCTCCTCAACCCTGAAGCCTCATAAATTCCAAATGAGTGTAAGCCCTCAGTAGCACTAGAACCTGACTTCTCATTCAAATACCTTTCCTCAATACATTAACTCGATACCTCCAAACCTTCATCACCTTCCATAATTTCTTCTGTGGTTTGAAGAAATCGAGAAGTGAATGTAGTTTGTTTTGAGTCGACTTTCTCTATAGCAGAAGGAGATGGAAAAGTAACAAACTTTTTTGGGCGTTTGACTTTTGCAACTTCTCAGGGGACCAGGGCCATAAGGTTTTGGAGGAGTGATAGATTAGGGTTAGCTTCGACTGAAATTGGGTGGGTGAGGTGGTTGGCTCAGATCCAAATGGAGGTGCCTCTTTAGATGGAGACAAGGTTGGGTTTTCTTAAGTTACTTTGGGAGATGAAGTCTTTTGTTGAGTCATGGTCGATTTTGAGAAGCAAGAAGACAAGAAAAAGAGGGTTTGAAAGAGGAAAGAGGTTATGTTCAATGTTTGAAGTGAGGAAAAAGACTGACTTTTGGGTATACAAAGTAAATGGGGATTGGTTACAAATGAATGTGAGAGAGAGGGGACGGATAATCGGGCCATTTTGGAACAAATGTAATATTTGGGCTTAAAGGGCATCAGAAGAGGCGGGAACAAAATAATGACGTGGAACCCTAGCAGTTCAAAATGCGTATAAGTGTAAAAGGAACTACTAACTTGTGTCATAGGAACTAGGTTCCTTGACATTTTTGAAAATATGAGCATTAACTTCTAGATATTTGCAATGTCATTTGTCACTTATTAGTCCTGAATTTGCCATGCGTGCCTACCTGTAACAGTATCGAGTTGAGTTAGATGTCTCCAGAAAACACTTTTTAGCATTATACATTTCTATCCTTTCATAGCCAATCATTGAGGGACCAGGTTCTCAATTAAGCTTGATCAATCCTAGCTCCAAACGATTTCTTTCAAAATATTCTCCACTCAGTGCTTTGGTGAAGATATCTGCTACCTGGTTCTCCATTTTGCAGAACTTCATACAAATAAGCCATTTTTCATTATTGTCGCTCAAGAAGTGATATCGCACATCAATGTGCTTTATCCTCTGATGTTGCACTGGGTTCTTTACCATGTTGAGAGCACTTATGTTATCACACAAACATGGCACATAATCTGTAAACACACCAAAATCTTCTAGTTGTTGCTTGATCCACAACAGTTGAGCACAACAAGAGGCAACTTCCACATACTCAGCTTCAGTAGTAGAGAGAGCCACATAGTTTTATTTCTTTGCAACCCATGAGATCAAGAATGATCCAAGAAAATGTGCCATTTCAAATGTTACTCTTCTATCCACTAGATATCCAGCATAGTCAGTATCAACATATCCAACTAGATCAAAATTATCTCCTGGGTTCCCTGGAGATACCTCAGGATTATTTTGGCAGCCTTCAAATAAGATTCTATTGTGCTTGATTGAAATCTAGCACACAGCCCAACACTAAAAATAATCTCAGGTATCTAGCTATTTGATACAGAAGAGAAACAATAATACCCCTATACATAGTTTTGTTGATAGGAGAACCATGTTCATCCATGTCCAGGCGAGCAGCAGTAGTAATATGAGTATCAATGGTCTTGGAACTTTCCATCTTGAAGCTTTTTAGCAGCTTCTTGATGTACTTCTGTTGACTTATCATGGTTCCTTTTGAGGTTTGCTTTACTTGCAACCCGAGGAGGAATTTTAGCTCCCCCATCATGCTCATCTCAAATTCATTTCCCATGAGTTTTGCAAACTCCTCACAAAGGGAATCATTTGTGCCACCAAATATGAT